ATTCAAAAATAAAAAAATCATCGTTTTCTCAAAATCACATAAAGCCATATTATAACATCGACTGAGATAAAAAATAAAATAAAATATTAAAATCACGATGTATCTCGCTGCATTGCGCGRGTACGCTTCTAGTATAGTATAGATAGGTTGTTTCAGTATGGTATAAGGTGAACCGAAGAGAGAATAAACATCCAATACCTAGATATAAAAATTTATGAGGTTCACTCACCAAATGGAAAAAATGATCAAAAAGAGAATATAAAGGTGTCATTAAACCTTAAAATATGGAGGATTCATAGACTTGTATATATAGAGAGAGATAATATGAACTTGGCCTGAATTCGGGAATAGGTGATCTCCTAAAAACCGATAAGGTCTTATTTCATTAATTTTCTAAGGAAGAAACAATCAATGGAGCACCATATTTATAGTGTCCTGCTAACAAAAACAATCCTAAAAAACTCAAATACATAACTTACCAAATAACAATTCTAAAAAGACTCAAATACTCAAATAAAGACTTATCATAATTTAAATAATTAAAATAAACATAGCTAGCCTTATCCTTCCATCCACTCTATCGACACCTCTGATAAACTCTCCCAAACCAAAATGATGAGAGTTCATTTATTATGATTTGAATATTTATAAAAGTAGAGTTCATTAATTATGATTAATACTTTATATTAGGAAACAATTAAAACAAATATGAAATCACATATTCATCAAGTTAAATGGACGACTGAGGTTGAATTGTATTGGTTGTACAAATGTAAAAGGTTGCATAATAACTCACATCTATATATATGTGTGTGTGTACACTATAACTTTAATTTAAAGACCTAGTTGCTTTGATGTCCCTAACTAATAGGATTGTCTGGATTCCTGCAAGAACCTAATTATATACGACAAATGAACTTACACACCTTCTTCATTGTTAACGAGGTTTGAACCCTTGTATCGGATATTGTTAGGCAAAAGGCCCAAGTATTTGTTGATTTTAATTGTATGTGGTCATGTTGTTGCAGGTCCAACTACTTCTCATTGGATGTAAATAGCTTCAGGCTTGTACATAGAGTTAAGAATTTAGTTGAGGAGATGAAAGATGAAACAATTCAAAACTGGTTTGGCATAGAAATAATGTTTGTTTTCTGTTTTTGACATATTACGGATCCTAGTAATTTGGTCGCAATTCATGTTAGATAGATTCGTAAAGAGATGTTTAGGTTTACGTATGTTTTTTTATGTAACTGTGAGTTTGCTCAAACCTCGACTAATCCTATGAAAATCTAAATGGCCCTTAAGGATGCGTTTGGTATCCAAACAAGATAGGACATGACAGAACAGTTGTTCATCTTTTGGAGGTGTATTTGGATACAGGTTCATTCCACCTTGTTCCATGTGGTAGAGATGAAACGTGCGTGTTTTATTTTGTTCTAGTTTGTTCCAAATAAAAATTCCGCCGAACATGAAACAATAATTCTTGTTTTCTTATGTTTTGTGTACCAAACGCATCTTAAGAGATTCAAAACTGGCGATCCATAGGGATCAGCCTCAAGGCCTAACTTGTATTTGCTAGTGAAGTTAAGCTTAAGTTTTATGTATGTTTTTTTAATGATATAATATTTATATACGACAAATTAACTTTTTACACATTCGTCACATTTGATAAGATTTAACCCTGACCATAAGAGAAGGTTGCATCGGGGTTTATGTGTGTTGTTTTAGAAAAGAGAAGTTGTATATACCCCTAGCACGACTAAACATTTTTATATGCTTATCAAATAAGTTATACATATCATTAAGCTTCTTAAGTCGATAACAAATAGACCCTTGCTCACCTTCTAACTTTTCTTAACAATTTTTTTAATCTTCTCTCTTTACACACACATATACACACACACACACACACATATATATATATATATAGAGAGAGAGAGAGAGAGAGAGAAATCATACGAGAGGTTAATCAATTTGGAAGTTTTAATATCATATATGATTACACTTATTTGT